ATGAAATATCGTGACGGATTTGCATAAAATTATACAATCACTAAAATTATATACCATTTAAAAAATTATAAATGTGAATATTCATTTTCATAGAGCAGACAACCACCCATCTTGAGACCGCTACCCATTCGGTAGGTAGGTATTGTATGTGGCCTCCATTTTAGAACCTGTTTGCAACGGTGGTCCGGTCTGCGACAAATTCAGTGTTTTTATAAAAAAAAATGTATTGATTTTGTTCTCGCTTAATTTTTTGCACATCATCATTAACACAAAAACCCAATGATGTCCCACTGCTGGGCGAGATTCTTTTCAAAAAAAAAAAACATATTTTATTATTCTACTATACCATGCGGTCATAGTAATTTGGTTTTGTTTGAGTTTTCCTCCTTTTATACTGATAAATTATGCTTTGTTTCACTTCTCGTCACGTACAGTATCCTGGGGATGAAAAAAAGCAGTGATGGAGTGTATTTTTACACAATTATATGAGGAGTAACTTTTGTATTCATTATGCCTGTTTTAGTCAATACTTCTTACCAGACTGCCGAAGAAAGAAAGTAATATTTTTTGGTAGTTTTTGGTTTGACAAAATCTTTTAGTAATTTCTTTTTATTGTTACTTCTTATATATATACACAAATTTTACAATTCTTAAATTCTTTATTTACAGGTTTAAGCTGTATAACAATGCATAGCTATTGAATAAAATTACATTTTCAATACACTTTTGCTGATTAGATAGATTGTGTGTACGAGCTATTCTTTTGTAACAAGTTTTAGGGTTGTGCATAGATATGAACATATGCTTATATATTCTACTTATCAAAGAATTACAACTTATTAACTTCATTAATTTTGACGATATTATTTATGAAAATATATTTAATTGAACATTCTGACTACCACAATGAATGTCACTGGATGACTACACTAGAATGTGTGCTAGCTTCATATAACTAATTCGGTTAGGTATTTACATAAGCTCAAGAAAATATACCAGGGATTTCTTTGACCGATTCTATATGCATAAATAAATTATAATACCAATATTTATAATCGCGAATTTGATTATGGATTAATATATATCAATATTATTTTTACTCTTATTAAATGCTAGGGACTTGATAAGGGTATGTAAGTTCTAACGCCAGTAATAGTATTCCGGAATACGAGTGTATGCTATGTATTCTGGTTATTACTACTACCTAGTTATTTAGCTACTACATAATATAATAACGAAAATAGAAATAATCGAATCGATTCTCTCGCTTTATTTCCTTTCATAAATTGAATTTTTGTTACCTACTTAAAAGAACATGAGGTAGGCACAAAATTTTTATTGAAATCAGATACAGATTGTGTCTGAGTTTTAATGTGTGTTGTATTTAATGGGTATTAATATATTATACGTGCTGGAAGTAGTAGCATCTATAGTTATTTTCTATAAGCAAAACAAGTTTACGCAACTGAATAAATTGATTCAATGTCTTTGTTCCAATTTAGTGACGAAATGGCCTTTGCAAAGCAAATTATGTACTTCGACAATCTTTAAGGCTGAATTTCAGTTACACTTGTCCAAATAATACCGTTTGAAGCGTGCCTGGTTTAAATACAATACCTATAATTGACGTTGATATACATCCAAATGTAAGTATGTAGGTAAATATGCATATTTAAAACTATTATTTCATGAATAAAATAACAGTTGGTCCGCGAACCCCTTCTGTGAAACACAATAATTATTACTATAATTTTTACTTTAAAATATCACTGATGTATACCCAGAAAGTGATAGTGTGTGACAAGAAGGCATATAGTATTATCAAAATAAGGCATTCACGATGTTTACATCCTATAGAAGAGGAAAGAGAAGGTTGTATAAATTCGTATTATGTAGTATTAGTATGTAATCAAATAAACTCAATTTTCTTCGCGGTAAGATGAAATCACGCATCATCTACGTAACATATGATAAAGCACGTAATATAATGTGATATTTATACAAAAGATAATATCATTGACTATGAGCATAAGACACTGTTTGTTATTAGTATGTGTGCGAGTGCATATAAAATTAAGGAAATGACTTTCGACTATAATAATTTAATATTTACAATTAGAATAATACGCAATTCAATAAAAATGCTTAATAATGTAATAAATAGTATTTATATTACGATATAGAATATGATTAATTGATTGAATTTTATAATTTGATCGATTAATGGTATCTTGTGTTTTTTAATTGGTGCCAGAAAAGTAAACCGTTCATAAATAGTAAAAAAATAGCATTGCAACATTGTGAGTGTCACGCGTGCATAGCCAACTCTTATTACGCTTTTTTTGGAGATCTCCATGCTGTAAGTCTTAGGAAAAACATCGGCAGGAGTCTTATTTTACAATTTAAATGTTTATTTTAAATATTATCCAAATCTTTCTGTGATTAATATATCTCCATCTCCTCACAAAGTGTAAATCGTAGACCATGTTATTAGCTTAAATTCTTTTTTTTTTTACATATTTTCTTCCTTTTGTTGATGAACAGATATAAAAAAAATCTATATGCAGAAATGATAAGGAGTATCTCCTAATTAATTTATTTTATTGAAAAAGTAACTATAAAGTAAGTGATCAAATAATCTGTATAATCAATGTCCATAATAATGTCTAGCTTGATAATGTTCTTTTACAATAAAATTCATTTACAGCCTAATCTGACATACTATTTGTACTGTACTAATATCGTGCATAATAAGCCTGACGTGTTGTTTCATCATGCTCTGAGTCAAATACCCAAGTTATAAATGAAATATATATTATAGATTCTGCGTATATTGCTAATAAGAAAGAATTTTTTGTTATTTGTCCATAAATGTTTGTCATTTTTTTTTAATTTGAAACCATATAAATTTGTATCTCAATAATTTTATGACATTGATATGATTGAATATTTTAAATTACAATAAATATTTTTACAATCTATAGGGTTGATTTCAATTTTGTTATGAATTAAGTTGTCATAACGTTGTAATTATAGACGATGAGTGTATTCATAAACTATTAAATTAAACTGTAAAGAAAATAACTTTTGAAAATTAAAATAAATATATTGTTAAAACTAAAAATATAATTTGCCGTTTAATGTAGACACTAGTAGAAATTCCAAATATTCAAAACGAAACAAACAAAACTAGTACCTATGTAAACACACAACAAGTGTCAGTATTGCCAATAATGCAAGTAAAATCGACTTATGTTTATCACGTTTCATATCTGTTAATCTATTTTGTACGAAATATTTTGTAAATCAATTCGTATTTACTCGAATTAATGAAAAAGTTTTGTAAAACACAAAGTACATATATTATATATATTATTATTACGTATACATTATCAATATATAAGTTTATATTGTATTCCAATAACATTATGTTCCATAAAAGGTACAATCGATTTTAAGCGTAAAATAATGAACATGGGAACAAAGGACTAAAGTGGAAGTAATTTTGTTGATTGCAAAAAAGAAAAAAATCACTAAATTCTATTCAGAATGGGCGAAGTTTATGAGTAAAATATGTATAATTAGTTAAAGAAATAATATTTTAAACACTAATGTTTCTAATTTAATATTTTTAATTAATTTGGAGAAGTAATATTTGAAATTAATATAAGTCAACTATTAAATTTTAAGGAATAAATAAATTCAACCATTAAACTCAACTGTAGTTGTAACGCATAGAACTAACATAGAGAAGGCTTGAAAAATTCATATGGCTTAGAGCAATAATTTTATTTCTCATGTCAATGAATGTAAGAATTTTTCCTTTTCTAAGTAGGTCATAACCTACTTATCTACTTATATTAGTAATTTGCCATTGAATATTCTATGCTGGTAAGGTATAATTTAAAAATAAAAAATAGTTTCCTTGTCCGTTAATTTCAATTTCATTATTATATTTAAAAAAGTATTAAACATATATTTTTTGTAACCATTAATAAAAAGTGTAGTTCTTTCATAAAATTTATTGCATTTATAGAAATACTATAACATGCATACCTACTAATGGGACAGATATTCTTTGTTCTCTTGTGTGTTTTATACTGAGTATTTTGAAAAAAAAAATCTAAGTATAAACTACAAACTACTAATAATAATAATGTATATTGCGATTATTGAATGTGTCATTATTCATTTTCATTCAGAATAGTAATACTGAGATGGTATGAAATATATTATCGGTGCTGTTGCCATATATGATTCATACTCGTAGAATCACAGTCATCTTTGTTTGCTATCTAAGACCAAGGATGTGGTCATTTATTTACTCATGAGATCACGTGTCATCAATGCCTAATATGCATTATTTATTTTTCGTAACAAATTTATTCCAGTTTTACGTTAAACTAGCCGACCCGGCGAACTTAGTTCCACCTAACAGTCTTTTTCTTTAATTTTTTAGTTGTTTTATTATTATACTATTAATGATTATTATTTTGTTATTTTGTTATTATGATACCTAAATAATGCCATTTTATTTTTACTTATTCCAAATCAGTGGTGGCATGCGCGTGATCTGCGCGCAGTACTGGACAGTACTTGGACATTGCAACATTACTTTCTTTAAGAAACAATCTTTTATTTTAGAATAATCTAAAATAAAAGATTGTTTCTTAAATAAATGTAGCCTAAGTTACTCCTTATTACATCAGCTACCTGTCAATAAATGTCTCGTCAAAATCAGTCCAGCCATTTCAAAGATTAGCCGGAACAAACAGACAGACAGATAGACAGACAGTCAAAAATTCTAAAAAATGTTATTTTGGTGTATGTACCGTATATATATTCATATACATGTAGTAAACAATGGATATTTCAATATTACAAATAGACACTCCAATTTTATTTATATCTATAGATTATTTTTGTACTTATAATTTTTATCGGATTATCTTTAAAAATTGTATACATATATTTATGTTTTTTTAATTTTTAATTTACAGATCGCATCATTAAAAGTGATACTGAAGACAAGAGTCTCTCAAACGATGAGACACCTCTTCCGTCTTGTCCTCGACAACCGCCTGATGGAGTAGAAACGCCTTCTGATGTTGTGGAGAAGATGCCTGAACCCCAAACTCGAGTCCAATCACGTATTACAGTTGGTTGGCCTTCAACAACTCGAACTCGGTTTTCTTATTCATCGAGGACTCAAGATGCCAGAAGTGAGGCCAGCGTGAAGGATAAAATTGCTATGTTTTCAAATGATCACTCAACATCTTCAGATCGTTTGGACAAATGCGGTACACTTCCAACTCGGAATTCAACCACGAGAAAAAGTAACGCTTATATAAATAATTACTCGGATGTCTCATCATTAGACAGACGTTTAACTAGATCTCAAGATAATTTGGATGAAGTACCTCGTTCCTTTAAACTTTGTACAGAAAGGCGAGAAGTATTAGGGGCTATGGAAATAACGCCAACACAAAATTCAACCATCACAAAAATTACCAGACCTCTTCACACTGATAATAAACCTTTATTTTATGGTAGTACTACAACTTTACCCGCAAACAGTGATTCCACATTTACGCCACCTATATACCATGCACGTAGTATAAGTGATGATAATAGTAACAAGAATGTACATAAGTCAAATTTAGAGTACTTAATAGAACAAAGAAAAAAGTCTATGTCGAAACTAAGAGGTCTAGTAATATCTGAGGCACAAGCGCCAATAGTTGATTTACCAGCAATAAAAGTTCAAGAACCAGTTACAAAATCTTTTAATGCAAAATTAAATCAAAGTAATATAAACAACAGAGAAAATAAGATAAATAATATAAAGCCCATAGACTTAAATGATACTAAGTGGAAGACTACTCTTTTATCTAATAACATACCGAAATATTCTCCTGCGTTTAAAAGAAAATCTTTGCAAGTATATTCTCCTGGCTCCTTATCGAAGGAATCTACACCAGAACGTAAATTATATACGAAAACAGATAATAAAAATAATAATTTGTTATCAACGTCAAAACATACAAAAACTTCATTAGAATTAAACACTGATGTAACAAGAACAACATCTACATTGACATCTGAATCAATCTTAAAATGTCAAGTCCCAAAAAAAGAATATAAAGATATTTTTAACCCTGTTCGAGATTACAAGAATGTAGATATCAAAATATCAACTGCAGCTGATATTGTAGATAGTGATAATGATTCTGCAATGAGTTCAACTCAGTCAAGTTACAGGTCATCGGCTTCTTCCCCTATGAATAATTTAGAAGCTGTTGAGTCAGATAGTTCACGCCTTTCACCAAGAATATCATCACATTATACACATTATTCTCATGCTAAGGCTGAAATTCCTATCAAGTCTCCAATAATAGAGAAAAACTGCGAGGAATATATCAAACGCAATGTTTGTCGTTCAGTATCGTCGGATACGAACGTTTCTCTCAGTTCATCAGCGGGTTCGGCAGCTACGTCTGGTTCACAAGCAAGTTGCAGTTCTCTTGAAAGTTCTGTTACTGACTCTGAAAAAAGAAAAGTTTCTAAATCGTATAATATTGATACGATTAACAGAAGAAATATTTTAGCTTCGGCGAAATGTAGAAGTGGAAGAGACGACAAACTTAAGTCTCCTGTTATTGAAGCTAAATTTTCACACGAGTCTGTTGACAGTCCTCCTAGTCCAGTTTACAAAGCAACTGATCGTCTTTCTACACTCACGTCATCAGTGAGTGCTGTATCTAATAAAGGCGAAAACAGACGTCGCAATAAAAAAATTGCAGAAACCGATTCAGACAGTGATAGTGACGTTAATATTCGACAAAGAAAGACTGATTATAAAAATACGAGATTAAAACGAAATGCAAGTTACTCTAATAAAATTAAACAAACAGAGAACACCTTGGAAGTTACGAAAATTGATGATGTACCGAAGAACATATCTGAAAAAATAATAAAAGAAATAAAAAAAGTTGGCCTTGACAATATAAAAACTAAAGAGCACATACAAACAGTAAATAATAGTCTCAGTTCAAAAATTAATGAGTGTATAATAAAAAAAGAAGATGACAATATTAAACACCCAAAAATAAATAATTTATTGCATTCAGAAAAATCTACAAATTCAATAGATAAACAAGAGATCTGTGTTGATACTACTAAAGCAAAATTAAATGACATTTCAAGTGAAGATGTTAAAATTCCAATTTGTACTGTTAGTTTAAAACGCGGAGCTGCTTCTGGTGTAGGGCTCATTTTAGCTGGGGGCATTGATTGTGAAGCTAAGGATGTTACGGTACGTAAGAATTTATCTATTTATTGGTTTATAAAAATACTTATTTTTAAATAAAGGTATCAAGTCAAAGTAGCATTCATTTAGTAAAAATATTAAAAGAATATTGATTATTTTTTCTTTAATATCATTTACAGTTGCAATATTAAACGTGAATATTTATATAGTACAATAAAATTGTATGAAATTTTTATTTTAGATCCATCGAGTGCTGGCGGACAGCGTGGCGGATAAGGCGGGGCTTAAACGAGGCTCAAAAGTTCGAAGCATTAACGGCTATGTAATGGCTGGATTAACGCATGCACAATCAGTTACCATACTTAAGGTGCTTAGTATTATCTTAATAGTACTTATGCTCAGTTAATATATAGAAATTGAAGAAACATAAGAATCCCGAACTACAGTAAATTACGATCGATAAGTATATGGTCATAATAATTTTTTGATTTGTTTTTAGGAACAACGTTCAGAAGTTGTAATTGAAATCGAGGACGAGTCCAGAAAAAATAACGCAAATGAAGCAAGATATGGCTCTGAAAATGGTAATTGAAAAAATAAAATAAAATATATTATCTATAATAATAAATGGCCGTGTAGTCCCGGCATAGAATAGGCCATCCCTTCCTTTTCCATGGGTGCCGTAAGAGCCGACTAAGGGAGGGCGAGGGATGGGCAGCAGCGTCCCTCTCTGTAAGGTCTTACTGCGGTTTCCAATCCGCCTGCCAAGCGTAACATTTACTAGCAAAACCCCTCAAGGGGGAGGCTTATGTTTAGTAATGGACAGTTAAAGGCTGATATGATGATCTATTATAATTCCAGATTTAAAGCTTTATGTGAACTCATGCTGTAGTGGTAAATATAACAATCACAATTTGCCATTTCATTAAACCTATTCAAATTCAATATGCCAGATGGCGAGACTATTGATGGCACATTCATTAGGTTTTTTTTTAAATTTCCTGTCCATTAACTTATAATTTTTTCTTTATCTGTTGTATTTTCTTATATATGTGATTTAGTTAGATATGTCTTTTACATGGGTAGTGGTTTTAGTTAAAGAAAATTGTTCGAAAATTGCACGAAAATATCTAGAGTTTTTAAAATGTTTTTTTTTTTGGCATTATATCACTTAATGTTAAGTGGAAGTTTCACCTAACTGATCGCACTTACACCGAAATTTGGAGGTCAGAGCAGTAGTAGTAGTAGTAGCCAAACTTTTTAACTTTTTGTCATCATCATCATCGTATCAGCCGTTATCTGTCCACTGTTGAACATAGGGGGGACATATTTCGGGGGTTTTATTACTCTTGGCAGGCGGGTAGGCAACCATATTTTTTTTTTTTTAATATTTGAGAGGGTCGCTGTTGTCCATCCCTCGACCTGGGAGTTTATAGACTTTTATTATAAATAAATAGAAATCATTAAATCCAAAAAGATAATATTTTCAACAATACATAGTTTTAATTTTTATATGTATTATTTATATTTATTTCAGCGGAGTCGAAGGTCCGACAGGAGGCTAATAAAACAGAAACTGTAGACAATAAAGCTAGCAATGTGGTAACCGTTTTGTTGGAGAAGGCGGGAGGTGGCGCGGGTCTTGGTTTTGGCTTGGATGGTGGACGAGATTCACCGCATGGCGACAGACCTCTCACTATCAAAAAACTATTTGCAGGTTAGTATCTAGTAAATGGAAAATAAATAATATTTTATCACATATCTGAACTTTAAATAATATGTAATACTTATGTAAGTTCTCACTTGTTGGTCAACAACCGAATGCATGTTATTTTCGTCTTTTTACTATGTCTTTGATATTTAGATGATTGCAAAGTTCCTGGTAATAATAAATGAGATATGATGTTGCATTTGTCGAAATAAATTCTTTCTAGCAATCCCCTAGAGCACTAGGACTCAATTTATTTTTCATGTGACAATGAATTATTGAGTTGTAATATTGTATGTCGAAGTTGATCATGAAAGATGTATCTATTATATATTTACTATCTTAATTTTATATATTGATTACCAAATAGTAGATTTATTAAAGTAGGTGGTAAATATAATATTTAAAGGTGAAACAAATATATAATTATATGTATCCTATAGAGTTGCGAGTAGAGTTGAGATAAACTGTGTGTGAGTAAATGAGTGATGACAGATGTCATCTTAACCGCAGACCGTATAATGTAATATAGAATGACTGACGTGTAATTAAATATATTTGTAAATATACTTTAACATTCTAATAGGGATTTCAATTGGCTTCGTTTTATGTTAGATAAAACCTAAGAAGATTTTAATAATTCATTAAATATTTTGTTTGTCAAAATGAATGAACGTGTCATACTTACATGAAATTATGATATTTGACTGAAACATCAAATAATTAAAAGTTTAAGTAATCACGGGTCATTGTGATAAGTTGATATTGCTACTATAAAACGATTTTGACTTATAGTTTATCTAATAATTTAATATTATTATTTCCAAGATATTTTATATTGTAGTTATTTACTGACATATTTATTAATTTTTAGGAGGAGCAGCAGCTCAAAGTGGTCGCGTTTTAGTCGGTGCCGAACTTCTGTCTGCCGGAGGGCAGTCTATGGAAGGATTCACTCGCACGCAAGCTTGGGCCGCACTCAAGGCGCTGCCTTCTGGTACCGTCGCATTAGTTCTTAAGAACCCAAAGACCACATAGATTTCACGAAAAATGTATATAAATATTGTGACAAGTAGTAAGGGTCTAGAATATTCGTTATTCACTCGAATGAGATCGCATAAGTCGCCTTAGGCCGAATCAGGTAGGCGATGCGTAAACATCTCGAAGAATCCGGTTAGCACGGAAACTAACAAGAGTCATTTATCTACGAACATTCGCCGAAAGGTAAAGTAAAAAAATGCCAATTGCTGACAACGTTCAATTTGGTAGTGTGCCGAACGTGAAGCGCGTTTCACCTTCTGCAAAGTGTACCTACGATTTGCCTATTTCTTTAGTCAATACTCTGATAGATTCATTGTAAATAAATTGTATCTCACTTACAATACAAAAAAATTTACCGCTTAAGATTTTTAAGACTGCTTTATTTTGTTGAAATTATTATTTATAAATTTGATTAAATTAATATCTACTAGTCTGGACAGTAAAATAGAAATGGTCTTAACTGTCTCGTATTAAGCTTTGTACTTATTGTGATTTTCAAAATTTATTTACATCGATGTATTTTTTGAGTGCCATCTAAAGACTGAAAAGTTACAAGTCTTGTATATGCACTTACCTAATATAAAACACGAACGAAGTAACATTTGACGAAGTCAAGTGCATTGCCATAAGAGTTATTGCACTTGCGCAATGTAATTTGATTCTGAAATTAATATCTAGTAATAGAAAACCTTTATGTACTCATAATAAGAGTGGTTATATATTTCTAGGCTAACACATGAATCCGTCTGATTATAACTGTATTTTTCTATCTAATAATAACTGTGATTGTGTATGCTATACTATGTTTAAATATATCCGGTTATTCAGTAATGATTAATGACTTAATACGTCGATTTTTAATTTCTCAATAGCATCATACATATATTTTATATATATATTAACTTTATATATGTTCATTTATTATATTATTATGATAGAATGCTAATATTGCAACATCTGTGGTAGACTTAAGTAGTTTACATATTTTGCATTCCAGTAAATAACTAATTAATAAAAACAATACTTTTTACCATATGATATATTTTTCAATAGGTACTTTTATACACATTAATATATATAAAAAATACGCAGTAATGAGTACCTTACTCATTATTTAATAGTTACTGTATTATTGTTGGAACAATAAGGGGCGAGTGGTTATTTTAATTTTCATTCAGCACGGTATAAATTATTATTAATACGATGTAGTATGAGTAGGTACTTACTTGTCTACTTTTTAGTTACTTACCTAATTGCCCCAATCTTACCAATAATTTTAATTAATAAAATTCTAACAATAAGATTGTAAATAATTTGTTTTTATTATGTATTATTTTTACTAATTCTGCCGTTGTAAAATTATTTAGTAAGCGAAGAACGTTTCAACGAGAATAATCATCGAACTGTTTATGTTATTCCTCTCTTTTGTATTCTCAAAGACAAAATATATATCACTATACTCTTTACCACTGTTTCTTTTCCGTACTTATATACCCTTAGTGTTCTAGTTTGAAGAAACCTGTGATATTTTATAATTAATTTTAAACGAATTTTTGTTATTTACCAGAGGTGAGTATTAGTTTCAAACACCAATTTTATCAAGAATCATAATCTCTACATATTTATGAGCTTTTTGCCCAAATGCATGGATTTCAGAAGTAGCAAAACTAATGGAGTAGATAACTTTTGGACAACCACGCAATAAAATAGACTAGATTTTAAATTAGACCGTCAGGAATACAACTGTGAAAACTGCATCCAATTTGGAGTGGTAAATTTTGTGTGATACCGGTACAAATACATAGACAGGTAAAGTTTCTGAAAGTTATTGTTTTGGTATCTATTGGTCTTATTAAGACCTTTGATATTAATAATGTATTTTCTTCATAAAATACTTTTTTAAATATCACTCATGTACATGTGTAATTTGATTAGATTAGACTAGATAGAGAGATTTTTAAATGCCTGCGCTATCTGTGTATGCTAGTGGAGCACTAAAGAGAGATCAGAAGTCAATATCAAAGCGTCAGTTGACTTTTTTGTGGACTTTGACCTGACAGTGTAGAGAAAAAGCGATTGTTAGTAACGAAGTCTAACATTTAGTATTATACCCTATCTTAGTGGATGATAATGGAATGGAAACCTCACCTGCGCTATCGGTATATGCTGGCGGGGTACCAATGAGTGATAGGTAAGGATGAAACCATGTCAGTTAGCCCATTGTGATGGATTCAACGAGAATTAATAATTTTAATTTTTGTTGAATTCTTTAGAATGGGCTAACTGATTTACTATCATCCTTATTGGCGCTTCGCTAGCGTATACATTATACATAAAAAACCTGACAGGATATATTGCTAGAAATGGGACTAAATGATAATCCCTATCATTATTTTGAAGACCTCAGTGTTACTTGTGATGAACATGTTGCATTAAATGAGGGTACAGGTTCTCTGTCAGGCTAATTTAATAATAATAATAATAAACTTTATTTCCTTAAACAAAGTTAGCCTATGGTCCAATATAACTATGACCCCATACTAGGCAAAGCCTGTTTCGTGGAAGTCAAATATAATATATAATTTAGCAACATAAATTTTCATTTAATCAACATGACGTGCCTACAAGTATCAAATAAGATATTGAGATTGCTAACTTTCCAGCAGCTTATTCTCTATCAGGGGTTGATCTAAAATTTTATCAGAAAATATATAAAAATACTAACTAGATTTACAAAAATTAGTTTATTGTTATTTTCTATTATACAACTTACACTATATTGTGATCATTATACAAAATGCAAAATATTATAGTCCTAGTGCTTACAATAAATTGCCTGACATCTAGTTTATAAATCTAGTTAGGAAATGAAAGTTATTAATGCATAATTTTAATATCTAACTTTCAGTCATAATATTTGAATTATTGTATTTGATTTGTAGATTATATAATATATATTACTTTTATATGAAAATCACCAATTTTTGATTCGAAATTGGACGACATATTAAAATATCAATGATCGTCAGATTGATATATCAGAAGGTAAAATTCAAGGTATAAAGATCATTGAAAGGGATTAACATTTTAAAACTAAGCGCTAAATAAATTTTAATGACGAAGGTCGCAGGTTTGCTTGAACACAAAAAAATCCTTTTATAAAAATTGTTTAAGTATTTCGATTTATGTTACCTGGAAAAAGCAAATAGCGCTTGGTTTCGAATTATTGCACCCTTTCTATTGCAATGTCTATATGTATCTAAAGTTTACCACAAATTAATAACAAAATATAATAATTTTTTGGTTTAATAATTCCATGGGATTCATTAAAGGATCATGCCTATACACCCGTATTTGATATTTTTTTAGTAGTGTGACTTCAGAGGATTTCAAAGTTACATTTTTTGGAAAATGCTTTTTTAACCTATTAATAATATATATTATATATTTTTGAATTTGAATACATGTATCTACATGAAAAATTAAATAAAAAAAATAAACTTATCATGCTAGTTTGGCTAGTTATGAAATTGAAAATAGGTAATACGAGTATATCATTTTCTAATATGTTGTTACATATTTGAATTAATATAGTGTGCTATTACAACTTTAGGCATATTTACTTTATTTTGAATCAAATTTATTCCGCATTGCTATACTCGTTTTAGTGCGGAAACGTTCACTGTACTAATAGTACTTTTTCCACTTTGACTGTATTTATATCTACTTTCTATTTCTTACATACCTACTTCTCGTTTCCATACAGCAGATTACGAACAACTATGAATAGTGTAGATATTCTTATTTACATTATTATTAATTGTAAAGAAAATGTATATTAATTTTACACAAAATATTTCGCAATGTTTTATTATTACAAAAATATTATATGCTCCTAAAGGCTTCTAAGTATACATAATATACTACAAAAATAAGCAAGCCTTGGATATTATATTATACGTAGTTATTATAATAATATCTAACCAATATAAATATAGAGTTATACATAACAGGAAATAAATCTAATTTATATAAAAAATAAATTAGTTTCCTACCATAATAAGGTTAATGCATATCTAGCTTTGAATTACAATATCACAGATATTTTTTTCGAAAATTTTAGTCGATTTTTGTATAATTATAGTATTAAAAAATAGCAATGCCTAAATATTTTTTAATTACGTTTAAATGCATTTTCTTTTTCAGATTTTTTACTATTGTCTTTATACAGAATACCTAGATATAATTAACGTCGTGAAACAAGGTCGAAATATTGGCATGAATAAAATATAATAAACGTAGTAATAATCTGTTGATTATACATGTTAAGTTTAAAACTCTTTATATGTTTTGGTTTTACCTAGTCAAAATAAAAAAGAAAACAATTTAATACAGGATATCTAATTAGGTGTCATTATTTCGGTGAGTATCTACAATAAAAATATGATACCGAGTGTACTGTACAAAACAATTAATTGTTACTTAATTATATTAATTAAATGTATTTCGCAAAACAGACACCAAATTAAGCAAACGAACAAAATAAGTAAACAAAACGATTTCTATGGAATACCATTGTGTTGCCATTCCTAAAGAATAGGAATGGGCGATAAATAATTAGTTAATCGGTTATATAATAACCAACATAAAAAAAATAGTGAACTACTTAGAAGAAACATAATAATGATAATGCCACCGCCAATGTCTTTATTGAATCGAAAAAAGGTATGTATATTCATATATAAAGCATGTGAGACATAATGGCAATTTTATAGACAAGGACAAGACTATTGTCCTCTTAAGATTAAAAGTACAAGTGCTGATGTATTATAAAATAAAAAATGTAACGACATAAGACATATAGAATTGCCATTTAATCGGATTTTCAAATATCGTAAATTGTGAATATTTTTCTTCCTGCATCCTGCATAAATAAGCATCATCTCGGTTTCACTAATATTATCCTAACTATTACCTATCAATGTAGGTATGGTATTTCTTTTTAAAAGAACGGTGTTGTTAGCATTTGGAATTAGAGATATTATAGTGGTGAGTATATTTACGAGAATATTTCGAGGGCCTATGATAGTTATTTATTGTATTTGGTGCAATTTTTATTTGCAACAGGATTTTATTGCGTATTATTATAATATTATTATAATATTGGTTGATGTGTCTCAGATTCTTCAATGGGCTTATGGTTAACACATGTTCTATTTTTAAGGTAGTCCTATACAAATTTTTTAACAATTTAATAGCTTTTTTATTGTAAAAAGTATTACGATAAATTTAACATAAAAATTTCAACCATATGAGTCAGGAGAGTGTAATTTTTTAGTATCTAAGTATTCAAGAATCGTGATCTGTTTACAAATTGTCATTTGAATGACCATAAACAAATAAAATGGTGTTTTCTGCAAATGTCAACGGCTCTCGACAAACTAATCTCTATATACCATATGACAAAAACGACATGTTCAAATTTTAAATAATCCACCACATCTCATTTATTTTGTCGTTTACTATAATTTCGAGAATATATTTTTGGCGATATCCTATGGTTGATAGTCATTATTTATAGTTTATAAATGTTAATAAAACACATAGGAGAAACATCATTCGCACAGTATCGTTTTTAACAACCTATTCGCTTCGTTATGTCATCTTTACTGTTTTGCGTCAATTCACTGATACCATTTAATAACACTATTTAATATCCTAATAACTTTGTCGAAATACGGTATGTTCAAATTCAGATAACCCACACTTTTCGACTCTCACTGTAACTATTATTTTGTAAGTGTCTAAAATTCCTTAAGAAAAAGCAAATTCAACTGAATCATTTATAATATCCTGAGAAATTTAAATATGTTTTTATATAATGGCCTTTCCGCTTATGAACGAAATTTGAATATTAAATAATATTAGTGAAAAAATTTTATGTTGTTAAAATATTCTTAAATTGATTTGCTGATGTATAAATATATACATACATTATAAAGCGCAGGAAAATGTTTTTCTATCCTAGTTTCTCCTGATTTTGTTTTCTTGGCTGTACACATATATTTTCTTTGTAAATTAAAACCAAATATTCGCCATTAAAAATGTATGTGTTAATTACATGGTAGAGTAGATATCGTGGGTGCGGTACGTAGGCGCCTGCGTCGGCTGAGCGTCGCCGCAGCAGGCGCAGGGCAGTCAGCGGGTTGGTGAACGCCTCGCCACTCGAAGCAACACTGGTCCTGCACGAACATCTTTGAACAGCCTGATCGCTTCGCCGTGTGTCAGTCCTGCTGTTCCACGTCCATTCACTGATACTATTTCGTCACCTGGAATATAATTATTATTGTTTTTAGTAAACTTCATTTAATTAAGGTGTCTATTTTTAAAATAAAGAATCTGCTCCAATATATTCGTATTATTAATTTTAGTAATGACGGATCAGATCCAGTAATTTCTTATGGATATTTAAGGATAATGGGTGAGCAAATTAAACCGTTGCGGACAAGTTTTTTTTTTAATAGATTATTAGTCATCATTCATTATTATAAGATCTCCAATTTGCTTACAAAATATTATGAGAATAACAATAACGGTTCACAATCATTTTTGGTAGAGCAATGCGATATACATATTCCTTATACGGCTTGCTGGTTTTCGTTGTAACAAGTAGATATTCATTAAAAGGTATTTTTTTATTACGATACTTCTAGAAAGCATTGACAGGTGCACAATGGTCGTTACAAAGGCAATGTGCGCGTGGCACCGTCGTTATTCTTTATTAAACGTGCAGCTTGTAGTAAATACCACACCTTACTAAGTCCCTTTTTTTGTAAAAAAAAATCTAATTAATAACGCTATAAATTCTTTATTTTTGTTTACACAACATGTATATATAAAGTTTAATTGTTTCATAAATAAAGAGGTATTTCAATATTGACACAATACGAACTCAAAAAAGGTATAAATTATAAATCAGCAAATATCAGAATTGGCGAATGTATTGCCATATATGGTACATTGAATAATACTCTATTTGCAACAGTATATAAATAAGGAAAGCCTGAGGTACATTCATTTCAAAGAGCATTTTTAGAACTTACACCATAACCTCCCTTGATGATCATGATCTCTTTATAAGAAATTTGAGGAATGATCTATGGTATGATCTATCTATCAACTTAAGGTATATATCTATATGATCAAAATTTCTTGATTTTAATATTTTTATAAAAAAAAATTGAACCAACCTTCTCGTAATAATCCAGATTCTGCGGCTTGTCCGTTATTAAATATGGTCTTGACAAATATTCCCATATCGCCGCGAGGGGAGTCCCGACCGCCTACTATGCTAAACCCGAGACCCTTGCCTCCCGCCGATTTCGTGAAGCGCACCTGAAATATAAAAGTGTCCAATAAATTATATATACTTAAACGAATGTCATAGCAATAAGAATATTAGGATGAATTGAAAAACAATTACTATTTAACGGAATGTTGTAAACTAACAATAAAGTTTAAAAATTGTAAAATAATAAAAAAAAAAATTAAATTAACAGTTGAAGATGTTGCTAACCAATTAAGCATTATACAATTAAGAACACATTTAATTCCGTTATTCGTTGTTAGCTACTAACATAGATAATAGAGCATATAATTAACATTAACAAGCCCTCTCGCATACATTTGTTAATTTACACATCATTACACATACATAGAGATGGGCAATCCACCTGGGTGGGTTTAAAGTCTGGTGGGTAAAAACCGGGTGTTTTGGGTTTATTGGGTTTAAACCCCATAAACACCCAAATTTTTGGGTGTTTATGATTTTGTACTTCATCATCGTCATCTCAGCCGCAAGACGTCCACTATACTGGACATAGACAATATTATTATGCAGCCTACAGAATAAAAAACTTTTAATTTGATTTTGAGTTTATTAAGAAAGAGATGAAAGTAAAATGTAAAACTACAGTCAATCACTGTCAGATTCAGAGTTATTACAAGCGATGAATTGTATAGGTTCGATAGGCTCTATTTCGTCTAAACTGTTATGTTCATTTACTTGCTCAATGAAAGCTTCCAGTTATAACAAATGAATGAAATTTTTTCAGTTCTTTCAGTTGTAAGTCGATTTCTTTTGTTATTATGTATGTAGCCTTGGATACTAAAGGAACGCTCAGTGGCTGCCGAAGTACAGGGAGCTGATAGAATACGAATCGCTACTTTGCTTAACTCAGTGGAACCACAAATACCTTTCCACCATATTAGGGGCTCAATGCTATCTAATGAGCTCCATACAAATCCTCTGCCCAAAAGTTTTCTTTAGCTTTATAACACGCCAAATCTGCCATTACATTTGACAAACTTAAGTGTTGGCTTAAATTGTAGATAAACTCCATACCCTTAAGTTCTTCCTCTTGAGTAAGTTCGACTCCTAGAGTCCTGGGGTCTAGAATATATGCTGCAAAATGTATTGGCCTCATTGCCATATTGCATCTTGAAGATACTGATGTTAGAATCTGCTGTTTGCTTTCTTCGCTCAATGTCGAAATCTCATTTAATGCAAAACGTATCTTAGCTTGTACATCTCTAAATGTAATGTATGTGCGATGCAAACGATTCTGGTCGCTCTCTAAGTAAAATATGCTTTCAGTGACTGGTTCCAAAATACTTATACATTCCCCTGTCTTCGTCCAGAAATCATCACTTAGAATTAAATCTTTAATATCTCTTGAAATTACCACATCTTCTCTAACTGTTAATATTTGCAAAGCTATCTTATTTGCTTTCAAACTTTTTAACGAAGTAACATGACTTCCCCATCTTGTAGCACAAGGCAATTTTAGTGTTTGTGTAGAATCTTCACCCTGCCTTGATTTTATCAACAAGGAACTTAATCGTTGACTCCTTTTAACAGTTTTTATTATATTTATGGCTTGCATAATAAACACAGTTACTTCTTGTATCTTTACAATATCTTGGCACAACAAGTTAAGGATATGTGCACAGCAACCGAGAGGAACAACATGTGTTGTATATTTCTAGCGTTATCGCCAATAAGTACAAGAAACTTATTTGCTCCATACACTTTCATTACTTTTTCAACTTCTTGGCTAAGGTATTCACTAGTGTGAGGATTACTTTCTGTATTCAAACTTTTAACGTATGCAGGTTGAGGTTTTGATATAAGAAAGTTTATTATTCCTTCATTTCTTAAATTAGACCAGCCATCGCACTGAAGGTGTAAGTAACTACAAGCATTTAGTTCCTCATTTAACTCAAAACGCATTTCTCTATATATTTTATCTAAGTATTTTGTCGCTAAAGCTTTACGTGAAGGTATTTTAAATTTTGGTTGCAATTTTTCGAAAAATTGTATCCATAAAGGATGTTGCACCATCGATAATGGCGTCCCTGTTACAAATATAGCTCTCGCTAATTCTGTTTTTATATGATCATCGGTGTCTTGAAACTCAGCATTTATTGTAGTGTTAGCAGACGACGAGGGGCTTATAAAAGAATCATTTGTCTCTATCTCTGACAGTCCAGACATTTTGGTTTTGGACGAGCTATCTTTTATAAGTTTCATAGAGTCTTTTAATGTTTCTGGAGATTTTGGACAAGTGATAAGATGTTGAAGCATTTTGGCAGCATTACTGAATTTGTAGACCTTATTACAAAGCTTGCAAGAAACAGACTTGTTTGGTAAAGTACGGTAGTGCTCCCATATGCGTAAATCTTTAGGTCTCCCCATTGAACCTAAAAAAATGAACGATGATTAGTTGGTCTGACGAAAATTCAACAATAGAGTGCCTATTTTTTTACAATGATTATTTCTTGTTATTTACAATAAATTTATTAAAAAAATAATAAAATAAATACAAAAAACCTTTGTAAAATTACATCTCCTCGGAGGATTAAACGCAGACGCTAGTTTATTATCGTATTGTTCTGTATTTTTCTCAGCAACTTCTTTAATTCGATTAGGTACTTACGCATATTATGTTAAAAATAAATATCTAGTACACATCTTAGGCTATCCACCATTATTATCCAATGACGACTCTCAGCTAACTATGCACTATCATCCAAAATAAACGTGTATGGAAAATTTTATCCCAGTCGGTTGAGGATTGAGGATAATTGCATCAACATACGAACATACCTACATACTTTTATTTACATAACGCAAGCTAAATAAAAGCTTGTAATAATACATCTAATTTTAAGTTAAAATTGTTAAGTGATCATGATATAATTGTATCATTCAAAAATCCACTTACCTTTAATTATTTCTTGTTAAGTATAAATATTATTTCAAATCTGCTCCCTTAATATGCACTTTTTTACTGCTTTTCCTACCTAACACGTTACCAGGAAGTCACGTTACCAGAGTCAGAGTAATAGTGAACACGTTTGACAGTGATTGTCGTCGCCTCATATTCAGCGTCGACGAATAGGGGAATCCCCAGTCATAATGTATTGCATGCGTGGCGGTCTTACTTCAAATCCATAAACAAAGAGATAATTACAGAACTCGATACTAGATGGCGCTGTTTTTGTTTGAAGAAAGTTTGCGGGCTAAAATACATAGAATTTCATCAATGACTTCCACAAAGAACAACATTTCTGTTTTTTCTAAGTCCGTATCTCTTCCGTATATTTCATAAGATATAAGCTTGGGCTACATTGTTATGCAACGTGATTTTGTCGCTGTCTTGCTAGCAGGGTTGACAGATATACGATTTAAATCGTACTCATACTATTATTTGTCTATTTTTTAATGTACGATCGTAAAGATTATGATCGTAATTCGCACAAAAACATACGACTTTTTGGTTACCTGGCAACATTTTTATTATGAAACGAACATGCTCACATCATCAGTCACATGCAACAATTTATTGGGGATTTCCCCTTCACATCTGGCAGTCCTGCTTGCTAGAATATAGGTAAGTCAGCCACAGTTACTGACGATCGATATTTAAAGGGTATTGTTTTTGTGCTAAATATTTCATAAAAACGTTATTTAATACTTTGTGGATTATTAATTTAGTTGATAATCACTGGAAGTAAAATGGATGCTAATTTGAGAGATCAAGATCTTCGTATAAAACAGTTAATAAAAGAAAATCTACGTAAGTACTCTTTTTATACCTAGGTAGGTAAGGTATAATAAACACAAAAGGTACTTAGATCGCGTGTGTTCGAAGCATTTATTCTAATAAATTTAATTTAAAATTGTAGAAAGAAAAAAATGTCTGCCAAGCCGTAGCCGAAGCCGATCTCCAAATATATTTGGCGATAGTGAGACCCAGTGTCCAGACGATTTACCCAGCGTCGTCGCAACAAAGAAAAAAAACGAGGATAAAGTAAAAGAAAATTTACTGAAAGAAGAAACAAACTGTTCTAAATGCTTAATTTATGGAGAAGAGGATAAAAGAAATGAGTATTTCGGACTGTTAGTGGCTCAAGAATTTAAATATATACGGCCATGTGTGCGAACGAGGTGTTATGAAGAAATTTTAAAGTATCTACGGGAAGCAAAAGGCCAACATGTTGATCAACTGCAACATGAAAACACTGAAAATTAATTACTTTCATTTTATTATATATAGATTTTTAAAATTTCCTGAAATATTATTAGTTAACGTTTTATTTAATATTGTAGAATTGATCAATACAATTTATAAAAATAATTTATTGGTATTACTTACATATTTTCAAAAAAATACGTAAAAACCTATTTTTTTGGGTGATTATGGGAGTTTATGGGTGTTTATTGGGTTTTTACCAAAGCACCGGGTTTAAACCCGGTGCTTTGCCCATCTGTACACATACACATTTATTCATTATCATAGTATTAACCTCATCGTGAGGTTAATACCCTCAGAATTCTTCAGCACATAATTATTTTCATATAGGAAAAATAGTCATAATAATGTCGTGTGGTTTCGGCCACTTCTTCCTTTTTTGTGGGTATCGACTAAAGGAGCTTAACAGTAGAGGGATAACCAGCAGCGTTCCTTTTAAAGCACACGTGAATTAGTACATAAAGTATCCTGTTTATTAAGTTAAGACCTACCCTTGCTCCAAATTTCATTTAAATTGATCCGGTAGCATTTGTGAGAAAGAGAAACAAAACAACATTTTTGAAGAAACATCCATTCATCCATCCAACTATCCATCTATCCTTAAAAACTTTCGCGTTTATAATATTAATAGGATGATAGTAAGATTGTTTTAAGTATCTAGTTTTTTTTTTATACAACTTAGAATGGCAAACAAGCTGACGGCCCACCTGATGGAAAGTGGTAACCGTCGCCTATTGAAATGAGCAGTACCATGGATATAACAGAGTATACTGTTTCGCCCATGATATCCCCCATGCGTTGCCATTCCTGAGGACTCAGGTGTTATTCCTCTGTACCCAGTAAATTCAGTGAATAACAAAGTTTGAGATTTGTTCGAATGGAGCTTGATCCCTACTCTCAATTATTAATTTTTCATGTAAACTGAGTAGCTGATGTGTGACATAAATTACATTATAGTTAATAGCGCCTGTACAAGTAAGAAAATTAAAAAAATAAAATGGTTCCGACCTCAAATGTGTGCACGTCTCTTGGTTCGGGCGCAGGTGGTCGTTTAGTTTGTTGTGATGACGGCGGGACAGGTGGCGGTCGGGGCGTTCTGGGGGTCGCGCTCACTCGTAATTCAGCGACACAATTACGTAACTGCTGCAGAGGTTCTTGTCTAGCTTGAACACGAGGCAGCCTGTAAGGTTCCTCCCACAAATTCTGAGTATCTGGAGGAAGTCTATTATACCCATTTCTATATGAGGGCATGTCCAACTCAACATTTTCACTATAGGGGCGGCGACTTCTACCTTCACAATTATTCTTTCGTCTTTCTGGTCCATAGTTGTAATCGACTACGTCACGATTTTCTTCATTTTGATCTAACAATGGGGTACAATCTCGTGGTGCAGGTGTTGCTTTGTTTCTGTAAACGTTTGGAGAGCTGCACCTTCGTCGCAATGTGGCACTTTGTCGCGGTGGGGAGGGTGAAGATGGCTGTCGTACTGTCCCTGTAGGACTAGGAACATAAAAAGTTGCCGGTTGTTGTTGAGGTGGTGCTAGAACATCATGAGCGGATAGAGCTCGTCGACGCAATCCACCCCCTAGCTTGCCAAGAGCACGTAACAAATCTGGTGCTCCGCTAGTGACCCGCAGTGAAGCAGTTGTGTATACTTTTCCACGATGTCGGAACGATAACTTTGATGGGGGCGCAGGGGAACAATGTGGTGGAGGTCTGGGAGGTGATGGCGAACATCGGACAGGGCTCGGGTCTCGATTTCCAGAGCCAGGCCGCAGTCGGGAACATCGGCGTCGTAACTTACGCCATCTTTGTGACAAATTGGCGTTCCAGCTGTCCTCTGTAATTTGAAAATCATATCGTGAGAAAACTTTCTAAAATACGAAATATGTGATAATCATACACTATTGGAAACAAATGTTTTTGAAGCAACATACATATGTAAACAGGAAACGAGAATGGAGTATACACACGTAGTTACCTTTCTTATTAGTATCTACGTCCGAAGCGTAGTCGTGCGTGCGCGGAGGTGGAGGCGCTGGCGGCGATGCAGGCGCTGCGAAGCTGTGACGCAGCGGGGTCATGCGCAAGAGTCGCGGTCGGTCGCTGGCACCGCGTGAGGCCCATGCTGGTGCACCCATTGTAATGTATACTGTGGAAAATCCAGAAAAAAACAAATTCAATAACAGTCTTATTATTCGTTTTCCACCATAAAAATAAAGCTATTGAACTATGAAGAGCATAATCACGTTAATATAATTTGTATTACGAGTATATGCACATTGTATGTATTAGAGCGAGTGGGATTTTTTGTCTAACTGAAGACATTTTATTTATTTATACTATAGACTAATATGTGGATATTTGTTTAACATATTGAAATTAATGTAGTGTAATTTTTAAGTAACAGGAAGAAAATTTCAGCCTTAGTAGTAATTGTAAGCTATATCCTTCATATATACAGAGAGACTCGTACTTAGTAGTATGACAGCAATGAGTTATTTAAGCACCTATATACAGTTAGATATTTATCATCTAACTTTTAATTCTGTTCGAATACTTATAAAATCGTCTTATCAGTACCATCGTAATTACATTAATAAATAAAACAAATAGCTCTAATATGTAAAAATTTACGGTCTTTCTTAATATTATATAAAGTATGATACTGGAACCGGCTGTTCATTATCTTGAGTCATACGCAGCTCTCGACAGCAAAATCAGATATTGTTTAGAGCGTGGATAATAGTTGAATACTACATAACTGTTACTGTAAATAATAGATACCGTCATGTGGTGGCGGTACAGTACTGAGTAACGATCATGAGATGGTGTTTGAAATATAATACAGATATGCATTTAAATAGATGCCACATTCGAGAGTGCTGTGTCTATCAATTTTTGGCCCTAATAATTATATATTTTTATGCCAACTTCCTTGTAGATAGAGAGGTAGATAGAGAGGACCAAGTGTGTTAAAAACCCTGTCATAATTCATGTTAAAATGAAGAATAAAGATTGAAAAAAGGCTTGTGGATGATAATTTTGAAATGGTTTGGTTTGATAATGAATTTTCTGTAACAAAAGTAGCTTTGTTAATGAGTAGTTTGATAGAAGCATTCGAATTTTTTTATGTAGTTTGAGTTACTTGCCAATCTATTATCTATCTTCATCTATATCTATGGAGTGTAGTGACCCAAATTAACACTACTAAATATAGGATTCACTTGTTATGAAGCAACATTGTTATTACAGTTTATGACTTCTCAGAACCGTATCCTCAAGATCAACCACTTTATTAAATGGTAGCAAACTCTAATATAATTATTTAATTATTCAGATAGGTAGATACTTAAGAATAAGTCTTGTGTGATACATATATACTGTCCATATTACTGACACCTACACGGCGTGGGATTAGTACGATAAATAGCCTACGTCCGGTGGTCACGGTGTTTTAAATTCATAAATAACTTGGGTCAAGTGATGAAGTTTTATTAGGTATTCAAGTATTATGTTCACTGTACCCATATTATGCAGCATTATTAATTACTTAGTGGCATTCATACTACATTTATGCTGACCGTAGTGTGGCAAGATCGGAATTATTTGCAAATTCTCAGAAACAATTAAATGTTTTCAATATTTCAGAATAATTAAAAAGTGGTTTAATGGGGAATAAAATATAATAATAAAACAAATTTGTAACGTAAATCTACAAAATTGATTTTAGGGTAGCAAATAAAATTTACTTGCGTTTTAGTACTTAAATTAGTAATTAACTTGGAGTTTTTCTAACATTTGAATTTATCATCATCATCTTCCTGCCCTAATGACAATTATTTGGGGTCGGCTTAATATGTTTTTTGTTTATATTACACAAGATTTTGACTTTTGTTTTTATGACTGGCCGCTGGCCTAACGTCAATTTACCTTGAGAATGCATTTGTTGGTAGTATCCGTCACATACGGTATTGAGAAGAATGAACATTGGTAGTGAGAGAAGGAAGTTGGTAAAATAAAAATGAAAAACGAAAAATTTATGGAAAAAAAGAGAAGGTGGACACTGCATTTACGAAGGGGATACTGGTCAAAAACTGCAGTGGCTCGGGAGGTCTGGGTCGCATACCCATGTGGGATACACGGGTATACTTTAAAATCAGACATATCAATAGAGGAGAGCATTCCTGACACAATTAATTTGAATTAATTACTTCAATTTCGTGTTACTACATTAGGATGGCATTTTTATAACTTGGCCGAAACCAAAAAATGTGTTGAAAATGTTAAATTTTTTACACAGATCCAGAGGGACTATGAAATATTTTCCGAAATTTCGAGATCTAACGAAACACGAATTTGATGGTAAAATTATATAAATATCATTTTAATCGTAATAAATGGTAAATATCGTTCTTTTAGTAGGTAATGATAGGATTTATGACGAATAAAATGTTAAGCTCCATTTATTGGGCCGATTTTGGTACGAACAAAAACACGAAATTTAGTCCGAAAATTTGGTATTCGGTATTAATTTCAAACTGAGGGTCTACCAGACCCCAAGTTTAAGTAATCCAAGTGTTGATGGTAAGCTCGCTTTCTGCCACGTTGTATTCTAATATGCTCGGCGAAATGTGGGCATGTCGAGTGTTACGTTCATCACAACGACAACAGTCTGTCAATAAATACCTCTGATTTAGTGTTTAAAGTAGAAAAATTGGGACATCATAAAAATTTTATGCCATATAAAGATTCTGAGAACGATGTTTAATTATTGAGGCTGTCGGTGTCAACAGACGATGCGTGTCGAAGTGCGACGACGCGCCGCTCGGCCCTCACTGCTACTTGTACCGTGTACCGTTGCGGATATCCGTTCGGCAACTACACTCTCCATACTAAACATTTTATTTTACTGCTCGTTATTATAAACCACTTATCATGATTTTTCTATGGACTGTGGAGAATTAAGAACCATATTAAACCGTGCCGAAGGCATGGAGATAGCGTGACGACATGAACGTATAGACATATTTAATTGTTAATGTTGTAATCAATGCGTTGTTTCGTTACATATAATCGAAAAGTTATAACAATTAAACATACTCGTAAATTTATGTAGGTACGAAATAAGTAGCGTATAAGATTTATTAAACCCACTATTTTAGTCATATTTTAAACTATTTAAGAAGAAGATTTCTGATTCTTTCAAATAATATAAATTGACCTATCTAATGATTGGAAAAAATGTGTTGAATCTTAGTATATTTAATGCAAGAAGAAAATTATTGATTACAATTGCAATTCAGTTAAAAGATTTTCTTAAGTACCTAGTTTATTTTTGTACCTATATTTACCTATTAAATTATACATAATTTTCTATTATAGAATGATTTTATTCTATCTTCTACCTACATGAGAAAGTGCTATTTAAATATTGCCTCATCAGTTGCTTGTTTGTTAACAAGTTACTTATATCTTGCTACACATGATGAGCTCTATCAGGTGCATGGAGTTTTACCGTTAATAATATAAAATGTGAATAAAGGTAATTAATGGTTATTAATTCTATGGGGAGCGTAGATGTCGACCACAGGGCGCACATTAATCTCCGGGATACCAGGGACCTGTGGACACTGGCGTGTAATTAAACTGCGACGTTCCTATAAAGGACGATCTTTATAGCCGATAGACGAGCCTGAGTTCGAATGAATAGGGGAGCGTTTTCATCAATATTCCCAGCATGTAAACGTCGCAGGACCCTAATCGAAATAAAAATATATTTACCTATCTGTATCTACTGACTAATAGATTACTTTTTATTATACAGTTCAGGGAAATTAACTGTGGGCTAGTCTAGAAAATATATACCTATAGATGCACAGGTTGGAAAAATGTTGTGAGATTGAGATAAGCTTAGTAGGTAGATATTGAAGATAGAGATACTGTATCTCAATAGCACTTTTAAATCTGAAGAAAGAACAATATAATAAAATTAGGCGATTTGATATTTCGATATTACCTACGCAGTCGATAAACGTTAAAGTCGGGTACTATATTATTAACAAGTACGTAATATTTTCTATATACACGATTATTCGTGGGTTACTGTTCGTGGGACGAAAAGTGACCTCCAAAAACGTATTACTTTTTTTTATAACTACCACTTACAGTCAATATTATACGCCATGTAGATCAATCATGCCATGTAAGTCAACTTGGATTTCAAATTACATTTTTCACTCGAATTCCTGAGTACCACCAACTTAAGAAATAATAAATACATTTGTTTAAATTTTCATTATTTGTAGAAATTGAATAACGCCCAAAATAATTTAAGATAACAGTTACAGTCTTATTAAATAATTATACTATTTATTACACGCTATGAATACAATAGACATTGTACAATTCGCAACGATACATTCAGCTGCGTCGGAAACTGACATTCATTTTCTCGTAGTCCCGTTGTGATCTGAATTTGGTTGCGGCGGTTTAGCGGTGTGGTCACTGCTCTTCCGGCGCCTCGTTCTGTCGCTAACCAATCATTTCTATACCCTAATACAGCCCTGGACTATTACCACGTAACTTGATGTCCATGCCCGAAGCGGGTTTAGGAGTTAGCTTGTCTTAGTATAGCTAAATATGGTTGCTAATAAAATATCTAACTGTATGTAATTAGGCCAGTGTCTGTTATGTTTGGCATATTTTATTGAAAACTAGCGATCCAGCTTGGGTTCACTCGGGTAGACAGAATTTTCGAAAATTATATATAGCTACTGTTATATTACAAACAAACAATTAAATCTTTCCTATTTGTGATATTAGTGCATATAAAAAAGATGGAAATAAAATAATATTTCATTATTTTATAAGTGTACAAGTATTAATAAAAGATTAATAATTGAGATCTTGAAAATGGTTAGTCGATCAGAATTATTTTGTTTAATTCCGTTGCCATTAGTACGATTATATGTGCGACTGCCAACATTTGAATATTGACTACTATGATTATTAGTAGAACCACCAAAATTGTTCGGTCGCCGGACATTCAACAATAGGCTCCGAGCAGCGAACTATTAATTTGCTTAAAGATGCCTCGTTTAGAGGTGAAACACGTGTCGTAACATCTGCGTGTATTGGATAGCAGTCGGA